CTCTTTGCATTTGGGTTCACTATGTTGGTTCGTTTCAAGTGGCCGTCAAATTTTAACCTCAAAAGTGGGTGGACATTCGGGACCCACTGAATTGTGATTTCCAAGGATCCGGGACCCATTTAAGTTTACACCCATGTGGTACGTTGGTGGGCAGAGGGAAGCTATTTTGGGGTTGTTTCAACGACAAACCAAAGGAAATCCTCCCCATTTGGGAGGTTACCCCGCTTGGAGACGCCAATGGCATGGGCATGCATGGGCAGGGTTTGCCTTTCTCTTTTTGCTGAATCCCCCCTCCATGGAAGGGAGATCTGAATGGGATGCTTTAAAAGGAATAATCCCTTCCCCCTTTTAATAAATGGACCCTATTAATAAATACTATTTTTCCCAGAACGCCGGGTCCCCAATTCTACTTTTAGAATAGGCCAATTCAAAACCAATACTAAACTCTCGGATTTCTCACCCAGACCAGCCCCAGCCTTATTACGGGGTGGGTAATTAGTCCAGGACCCAAGCTCCTGGAGTACATTTCCTTTACTACGGTTGTACTACAAAGTTGCGACTTTCGAGCCGGAGCTCCGGGAGTACAGTTCTTTTACTAGGGTTGTACTACAAAGTTGCGACTTTCGAGCCGGAGCTCCGGGAGTACGTTTCCTTTACTACGGTTGCACTACAAAGTTGCGACTTTCGAGCCGGAGCTCCGGGATTATGTTTCCTTGTCTAGGGGGGGCCCATCAGACCCGAAAGAACCCTATTAATAAATATGTTTCGCCCCGCAGTCTGATTTACTAATAGGGGGGGGGCCGGGTTTATTATTCGGGGGAAGGGATTATCCAAATTGGAAGATGTCTGAAACATGGTCAAACACTGTTTGACTGGGCGGGCAGCAATGCTGCGAAGAGGGGTTCATGGAGCTGGGCAACGGACTATTTTCAAATGGCAAAGCAACTCAGCATTTACGAAAGGGTTTGGGTGGTAGGTGCTGCCGCGCCGTCTTGACACGCATTTGCACGGAGGGCGTGTGACATTCACGAAGTGCTGCACGGAGTCAGCGGTAGCCTTACAGCAAAGACTGAAGTGGCCATGAAACTCAATAATGATTTTTGGAAAGTGGTTGGTGGACATAAAAGCCCACCTATCCACCAGAGGGTCCCAAATTAAAATTCATGCCCAAGTATGAAAGATGCTGCTTACCAGCCGTTTTGAGGCAACCTCACATTGAAGCTCCAAACGCAGTGTTTGTGCCTGCGTGCTTGCCCGCCTGGGTGTGCGTGTGTGAGTGTGTGTGTGTGCATGAAATATTGAACAAACACTTACGGAATACCTGGGGGTTTCGTATGTTTGTTTTCGGAGAGTTAGGTCCTCAGCCTTGAGCCGGCGACCAAGAGCATAGCACTGAATTGTAAATTGCGTACGTCAACTTGACTTTCCATGGCTTTTTTTGGCTTTTCGATGTCTTTCATAGTCCATGCGTTGCCTTCCCACTCCGGATGCTCCTGGAAGTGAAGGCAGCTCCAACTTCCATCTAGCTTTCGCAGCTCCCAGCATTCGTTCCTGCAAAGCTGCTCCAGCCTGGGGAACTTGCATCGTTCGCACGCGAAACAGCCGGAAGACGTGCCAAATCGGAGGCTCGCCTGGCATCCACCTCATTCCGCGAAGATGGCAATTCCAGAACGCAGCTGCAGACCATTGCAAATGGGCTGCGAAGGTAAATTCTTACCTGGAAGCCCGAAGCTCTGAGACCCAATGGCGACAGCAAAGTGTCATTCTGGCGCGCATCCCAACACGAGCCTCAGGCTGAGTCAGCCAAAGTGATGGTATAGCAGGTTGAATCACTGAACTGATCTTAAGATGCCGCAACTGCACGCTTGCTCTCTGACATCATCAATTACTTGTTTCCATTCTCCGACTTGCCCATCAGCCTTTTGGAACACCTATCCCGTGCCTCGCACCAATGAAGAACACAGCCAGCCTGCAAGGATGCGACGGATGCATCTGCGCGGGGACAACTTCCACCAGCTTCCAAGACAAAACGGTGCTGGACGGCGGTGCTGGACGGCCGCTCCTTCTGATGCATGCAAAGTGCAAAGCCGCAAAGTGCTTCCTTCTTCAATAGGGAATAACAAGGTAGCTGTCTCAAAATGTGGAACACTCAGAAAGCTATTACAAACATGACCCGTGCAGGTAATCAGCGTCAAGCCTTGGGTTGCCCTACACAATGCACTTGAAAAGCTGAGACTGGCCAACTCACGTCCCCTGACCCGGCCCCGTTGGTGCCGTTGATGGTGTCCGCGCGGCAAACATCGCCCGAGGTGGGCGCTGCATGCTGCAAATAAGCCTCCTGCATTTTTTGGGCGCCCGCGTGACGGCATTCCAAACTGACAAGGACAGGATGTGTCTCAAGATATTTGCTCCAACCTCCCTCCCACTAGATTCTTTCCAGGCAGATCTGGAATCCAGGCCCTGTAAAATGTAAAACATGACTCAGGATCAGCATGTGGCCATATTGCACATGCTCTGTCTGCGTGCTGTGTCTTAAAGCACCCCGCAACTTTCAACAAGCCAGGTCCAACTAGGGTACATGTCTAGCCCCGCTACAGGAAGCATGAGATTCGCAAGGCAACCAAACACCGTTGCTAACATACACCGTTGGAATTCGTGTATCTTCGATTCATGTATCCTCTTTCATGCACCTTCAGGAATCTTCTGACTGGCACGTTGACATCTCTGTCTTGCTTTGACCGTCCATATCCCTGCTCTGTCCGTGGCAAACTCTGCGAGGACCTCTTTCGAAGCAACCTGTCGCAATGCGCTGGCTGAGAAGAATACCAGCCTTATGCTTCCTGGCCTTTGCTCCAACACAAGAATTGTGCTTGAATCGCGGCAGCAGTTGCATCACTCAAACCTTTAAGCGTCGGTGAACATCTCGTCTATCATCGGAAGCATGTTTTTCCCGCATGATACACTACCTTGTCTGATTGAGACTTCTTGACCTGGAGTCATGCAGGTCCAACTGTTACAAAAGCCATCACGTTCCCTGGATGAGATTCAGATAAGGGCATGACAGATGACTCAAAGACCGTTGCCCAGCCATGAGATGAGATAATCAAGCCATTGCCTGGTTGTGCCACGAGGGGAAGATCTCTGGCACACCCTCAGAATTCCATGCCGTCAACTTGTTTCGTGGGCCGCACTTCCCAGGCATGCTGTACTGCAATCATGGGCTCGATGCGACTATAAAGCGCGACAGTGCATGCCGTGCATCCTGCACAAAAACTATTCTAACAACCTGAGTTAAGCCCAGTGTCACAACACATCTTAGAACAGCTCTACACACCTTGAGGTAGCTGCCAATCACTGGTCACCCTCCATTCTCCAACTGACTTGGCAGATGAACTTGAGGCAGCAGCCGTGCTAAGCTTGGCGTTTGACACCACACCAACGGCCTCGGGCACCGCTTTGAACAGCAGTCATTTGGCACGGCTCGCTTTGAAACTATGGCCAGTCCCTGTTAGAGAAAAAACGTCGAGTTCCCATGCGACATGATGCAGTGCGCTGGTCTGCGTGTGATACCTCTCTCTCTCTTATTTGATTTAACATGCGGTCCGCGCCATCTTTGTTTCTGAGCTCCAAGCACGTGCTATGAAAGACACGCGCAGAAAGGCTTGCAATTCGCAAGATGTTAGCGTCCCAATTGCGGCCAGGTGCTTACTATTGCAATTGACAAAATGGGAAATGGTAGTGACGTGCTGACACAATTGGGCAAAAGACACATTTACAGGAATGCAGATAATGAGAAAGAAGAGATGTGTAACTTGGAGCTGTATTGATGCTGTTTGAAGCAAATGATCTGAGCTCGCTTGAAGCAATCCTGTCGACAAAGGGCGGCATGCAAGGCACAAATAAGAAGACGCAGGCAAGTCATCAGCAAGTCATCAGCAAGTCATCAGCAAGTCATCAGCTAGCAGGAGCAATGACACACCAGAAAGTGCTGGAGTCCCGTGTGATGGCACCTTCCTGGAAGTGACGAGAGAGAAGATCTTCAGAAACTGTGCTCCGCTCCATAAATCCGGTGCTCAGGTTACATGTGAGCTTCACACGGGCTAAGTGTGGAGACTTCCCGTGAAAGAAGGCTGAAACTGTGACAAACATGCAGACACAAGTAGGGTCTGGATTTGTTTCAAACCAGGACAAAAAAAACATGGACATAAAGAATATACAACTTTAAGGGCCAGCTTGAGCACCATCACCTCTGCTATGAAAGGCTGCGCATAAATCAATTATTTATCTATTTATTTATTAAAAAAGCAAAGGCACTCGCGATCATCACCAAAACACGGGCTGCTGTGTGCATGTCCCCCATATGTCAGCAGCAAAACCGCACCCACGCGAGGGCAGCACTGCAGTGATGAAGAAAATCAAAGTGCACCTCGGCTTCTGACGATCGGAGAAGCTCTGGACAAGGTCTTGTCTGGTGAGTTGTCGGGTGGGTGGTGACCATATAGCGCAACCTCCGTAAATATCAGGAGGCCGCAAACAAAACATGCACGCAATCTCGCTTCCTTGATGGTTCATGGGCGGGCCAGTCACGGTATCTTCCTTGGAATCAACACTTGCACCCCCAGTCAAGCCCACCCAATTCAAACGTGAAACACGTGCAAGCCCAGCCATGAAGACAAGCTGCAGTAGAACCATGCGAGGGCAAGAAGCGATGCCGCCTGCCGCGCTTCAAAAGGCTAACGTCAAAGTGAAGTGCAGTAAAAACGCCAGCAGCGTGTGAGATATGTTGCATTCATTGGAGGCGACTCTGGTAAAGAAGGAGCCTCTATCCACTTTCGGCAGCCTGGGTCATTCTGGCACTATAGAATCCCCGCAGGAGTCCGTGCCGGGAGCATGAGTAAGCAACAAGGGGTTGGATGAAAAACATGCAGCCCCATATGATCAAACAAGATGCAACACGTCCATGTTCAAACACAACTCGGACACACTCAAGACGCGTTTAA